AAGAATGGACTGCGTGGCCGTGTGGTCTTTCTCTTCGCGAGTCCTCCTGCTTGTCCAGTAGAATATGAATCCAAAACTCAAGGGTAAGCAATATGATCGATGTCAAGTCAACTAATACTTCACACTCCCAGCACTCCAGCAAGCTGTGCATCCTGGACTCTCCCTGATTCACCTCTCTGTGTTTGCTGATGCTTGGGAGTCGCCCCAGACCACGGTCGACGGGATGCGAAAAAGCCATCGGTTCCCCAGACCTCGGCGTTACAGGTGAGATTGACCCTGGACAAGTTGGCGGAGAAGCGCCAGGACTCCGTGGATATCACGCTGGGAGCGCCCAATGATGATAACCCAAAAACTGCAGCAGACGGATGTGGAGACAGGAAGTTTGAGCGATTTGTTGGGAGTTTCAGTACTGTATCTTTTTTTGTGCATTTTTTCTACTTCTCCATTCTTAGGAGGTGAACAAGATCCTAAGCTAACGTGGAGTAGGAATGAATTGGATTACCCTTTTCCTGATCCTCATTCCCATTTGAGCCCAACCGGAGCGATCGAGAGATCTACTCTCGGGAGCTGGAGGTGCTCCCGGCAGATCAGAGCCCAGGCTTCCTGCGGCATCCCCTTCGCCTTATCAGGACAGTGGTGGTGGCTCGAGTCTTTCTATTCATTGGTGACGAGAATAGTTCATCACCTGATCGTGGAAGATTGTTGGAGGGGGGCAAACATCAACAAAATGCATCCTCATGTGGAGCAAGCAGCACAGCATGTTCACATATATTCACAACCCATTACTGTTGTGGTGAGGCACTTTGTATTCTCAACTGGGGCGCCATTTGCTCCTGTTGGAGATACTTATTTTCGAAGGCATTGGTTGTATTGGTAACACTTTGGGTTTCTGCCATTGGGTATATTAGAAGACATCGCTTCCTTCAAGCAGGAAGCAACAACTATTTTCATCCCTTTTCTAACGGGATGCTTTGCTGGATCTGGAATAGCCACAAAGGCGTGGCATTTTCTACACGTGACATACATATTCATATTTCTGAAGAATACTTCCAATAGGTTTGTTTCAATCGTGTGCTGGCTGATGTAGAGACAACTTTTGAAGCACCATCTCCTGCCTCCAGGACGGAGGAGGTGCCTTTCTGGACATGACTTTCATTGCCATGCCCGGCTTGTTTGTTTGCGCTCTTGAACTTTTCATCCTGATTTGCATTGTCGAAGCTTGGAGGGCTTGCTGAGCTAGCATATGGGAAGTGGCCCTTTTCAACGTGTGTGTTCTGGTTGTGGGTTTGGATGACAGGTGCGGAACTTGACGAATGGTTGGCACTTGGATCATGCTTTGTTGGCCTCCCTGGTGCGTTTGTGGCCAGCACCCAAAGGCACGCAGTGCTGGCAGGGTTGGGGGAGCTTCACGGCAATGTAAGGATTATGATATCAGATGCCTTCATGGGTATATACGGAGATCTGGGTAATCTTGAAAAGGTGAACTCTTCAATAAAAGTTGACACGTGTTTTGGATTTTGGCCTTGAACTAGGGATTTGCAAAGATCTAGACAGTCCAGACTAGGTCCATTCATTCCAAGAGCCGCACTCAAACTGAGTCACAGGTCATGGGGAAGGCTGCCACACGAGTCTGGCAGACTTCGGTGCCGGAGGCGGGAGGGGTCTGCGTCCTCGGCGCCCAAGTGGCAAAGCAAAGTCTCCAGGCTGTGCCAGATGATTTGAAGACAAGTTATTTGCAGATAGTGTATATCTCAGATATATATGCAAACATCGAGAACAGTACGATTCACAGGAAATGCTGAAACTGCAAGGCCATTCTGCACTCTGGAACTTGTTGCTCCCAGCACACTTTGTGTGATTTCCTTATTTTGCGAACGCTTTGCCACGTCCTCCAGGCGGGCACTACTGCAAATTCTTTAACAAGACGGGCGAGTGGGGGACTCACAGATGTTCATTCAAGCACAAGACCTGGGAGGTGAATCTCAGCCAAGACTTGAGCCAAGCCCTGGAATAATGCCATCATTGTGCTTGACACGCATGCTTGGCCCCTTCATGAGCCATTTTTCAAAACCATGCTTTTATAGGCGAAATTGATACCGTGCGAAAGACTCACTGATATCGTGCGAAAGAGGCACGGAGAACTCCAGCGGAATTCCGCGCTAAGTGTCATTCAGTGTGGACCTGTCCTGCAGCGTTCAAAAAGGATTCTGTTCTTAGTCTTAGGGAAAAGAAGTGTGTCCGTTTCACTCTTGGACTCATGAAGGACGAGGACCCAGAGAGGGGTACTGCTCCGACCTACTGATCATATTTAGTGTAGCTGGAAGATGTCATACAACAAGTAGGATGGATTTAGGAAGCATCGAATCTACTGTATATACATAGAATCCCTGAAAAGTTCCATTTGCCGCGCAGCCTATATGGGTATGATGAGTATGTGATTCAATAGGAAGGACCCATGATTCCTTCATATTCCTTCCATAGCTCCAACGCGGCACCCAGGTACTGCTGCTCAGCCTTCGACGGATCCTCCAAGGCTTCCCTCTACACGGGTGGTGCCGTGCCGTGGTGGCACGAAGTGGGCGCTGGAACCGTACCGATCACGGTGAAACGAAACAGCTATATAAATGGTTTGTACCCTAACATGTGCAACAAGGCGAACAAACATAAACACATAGGATGGTAAAAAGAAGAATTTGACCATAGGTGACCATGGTGTATCTTTACGGGAACACAAACAGTAACGTGACATTGAAATATCCACACTGGGAAGTGAATCACATGGCGAACCTGGTCCCTGGTCGAACATCGTGTTCTTACCTCTCTCAAGATGTTTCACCTTTGCACTGGTAACGTCTGAGCATCGAACTTTCACGTCAACTTTCATGTTTGATTCAGAGAACGTTGATCACGTCGGCGTTGATCACTCAGAGGCTCAGAGGTGATCAGAGGCCTGGCCACTGAGGTGCAAACCCAAAGGTTGGACGAGCCCTTCGACCTTGGCAGGACGCGACCGGACGGGGAGGACGAGTCGGACTTCCGTCAGGAAGACGTTGAATTCTCTTTACCGCAGTTTTTGTGCAGTGGTGTTGGAAGGAAGTCTATGTAGTTGATGCTAGTCAAGGTGACAGAAGAGCCATCAGTCATGGACAAAGGGGAAGGAAGGAGAATTGGGAGGTGAGAAGGATGACGAACGGGAGTACAGGAAAACAAAGCCATAGAGCTGTGCCTGGCTTTTGCCGTTTTCGGCACACATCTGTGGGTTCGACACGTTTCAATGACAGGTGACACATGGCGACGCACCAGGCATTGGCACATCTTGGATCCATGACGCCCACACCCCACGGGCCTTGATTTGATCCTCCGTTCCACGGCCAAGCGCCCGTCACGGGTCTTGTCAGGCGCTTTGATTGGCTAATCTGCCTCGAGGCGCGGCCAGACTTCTGGAGGATGATGTCTTTTCGTGTTTCACTCATGACCAATGTGTCACACACTTTGCTTGAACCTTAGGCAACCAAGATGACCGGTAACAAAGCGATTTCATGGTGCTGAGGAAAGAAGCTACCTCACGAGTTCAAGACAGCTTATGGACATATTGGGCTTGCCAAATCCGCAGCCAAGCCACCTTGCAATGGTGTCTTCGGCCCCTTCTCCGCTCGGACCTCCATGTTTTGTTCCAGGGGGTGTATCGGTGTATCTGTTCTTCAAGGAGGAATTATGCGTCCTGTTCCACCATGCACAGGAAGCACTATGGGGTGATATAACATAGCAGTCAACCCGCTGAACGAGTCGTGCATTGTTGGGGATTATGACGGTCATGGGTATACGGTATATATATATATATATATAAGCAGTTTCATCGCAGCGACGGCGCAGCGAACCAGTGGCCTGGAGGTCTTGGAACACATTCCTGAATCCAAGGAGGCCCACGTTGGGGCGGATGTCAGGTGTCGCCCAAGGCAAGCAGGATACACGGTGTCCTGTGTGAGCTTCAGATGGTCTCATTGGAAGATACAATGATGGGGGAACCAACGCGGTTGAAGCCCTGTTGTAAGAAGTCTTGACAGAGGAGTTTCTTTGTTGCAAGGGTGCCACGTGTTTCCTCTGTGCTTCAAGGGTTCCAGTCCAGGTGCAGTACTTGATCACTTAGAGACATAGAGCTGCAAGGTGCAAGCAAAGCAAATGTGGAGAATTAATTATCGTCAATTGCGACAGCTGAGCAAGACTTTGGTGCCTTTAAAAGGAACTTCCTTGGAGGGGGAACAATTTCTGATTCTAATCACCTTTGCTTGGTTGACATGTTGGGTACTGAACCATAGGTCACACTTTTTCCTCAGAAAGATCCCGCAAGAAAAAGACCAAGCATCTTCACCAGAAGGCAGTGTTTTCGAGCCAACTACGACTCTCTTTGGGTCTCAACCATCGACTCCCAGTTTCCGCCCTCCCCGCCCTCTGCGGCTTTCAGCTCCAACCCTCCGGCTGGTCCAGGTCGTGGCCTTGGCGAATCTGCGGCGTCACGCCACGAAAGGTTTGGTCCTATCCTGGTCGTGGGGCCCGGGGCGCGCTAGCGCTGATCGCGCGCCCGCGATGGGAGAAGTGCGGCACGGAACTTGGGGGGAGAACCGAAGGAGAGGAGAAAGACTATGGAAAGGGGAAAGAGCGGTTGAATTCAGGGTTTTGTATTGGAGACATGAGATGGTTGTTGTTGTGTTCTCAGATGGAATTTGGGGTTGACTTTTGTTTCATTGCGGGTTTCCATGCGTGGGTCTGGCACCAACACTTCCTTGATTGGGTCTGACTGGTGTTAGGCATGTGGATGTGAGAGTCACATTTCGCAGCACTTATACCATAAACAATACTGCTGCTGCAGTTTCTCTTCTGGTATATATTTGTTTTTTTCTGCAAGGCTCCATTATTTGGACATGGACTTGATGTGTTGGAGGGCCGCTGTTTTCATTCCATGCAATCGGATGAATCACTTCATGGAACAACATCACTTGGGGGGGTGCGATCCGCTGGCAGTGGTTTCACTGCAGTGGACGGCAGAATTGCTGTGGTTTCATCAAGGGCTGTTTGCTGCTTTGGCGGGGCACACAGTACTGGTGTCCTAGTTCTTTATTTATCCTTTTGCAGTTCTGCAGTTCTGCCTTTTCCACGAATGGTTTGTATAGGATTTCTCCGAAAGCTCCAGATTCCGCAGGCCTCAGACACGTTGGCTCGAGATGCCGACACGGAAGGGAGCGATGCGCATGCGGATGCTTCGGAAGGGCTCCAGTGAGATGCTCAGAGGAAACACGGTGGACAGTGTGTTGGAGCAGCTCAATGAACGGTATGTGAAGGACTTCGCAGAAGTGGTGCGAAAAGTGGTTGAACCTAAGGGGCCCTCAGAGGTCCTTCAGGGTGGGTAGACTGGGTGGAGAGCTTTCGTTGAGCGTTTGTTTGACAAGAGAAGAGGGGGTGAGATTTTTTCGGATTCTGTTTGGAACCTCCCTGAGCGCAGGACTTCCTCAAGAAGCACGGCTTTTCAGATGTGCATTGCCCCAAGGCAGCGACTGCGATTGATGGACTGGAGGTCTATCCGGTGCATGTGGCTGCTCAGCAGGGAGATGACGAGACCCTGCGGATCCTTTTGGACGTGGGCGCTGATCCAGAGGTGACGTGCCAAGGACGCACTGCTGCAGATTTTGCGCAGGAAGTGAACGTCAATGGTTCACATGTCCACGTCCTCAATTTGCTGCAGAAAGCAATTCAAGTCACTGAGGTTGCGGTGTAGGGCTCGCTCAGCTTTGAAAAAGGGCTCCCTGCACTCAGCCTCCTCAAATCAGTAGTGGAACTATTCTATTCAAGACGCAAGGGTCATAAGGGATCATAGGCGAACTCGGGGGAGCCCTTTTGTTGGTCAGCTTGGACATTTTCCGAGCTTGCTCATCATCATCGCCAGCTAGACGCGCTCAGATGCAGCTTGGTATCTGATAGCGCCGTCGCCCAGAATTGTCTTGGCGGACGTGGCCATGTGGTTGAGCACTGGCCGCGGAACGGTTGCATCGGCAACCACCGCGTGTTCGCGGGCGCCACGCGCCCGGGCTCGGTCTGAAGGGACTGGGCATTCACCTTTCGATGATTTCATTTTCACGGATACTCCGAAGGAGAAGAAGTTCGCTTCAGTGTTGGGCAGTTGGCTTTGTGGTTTTTTGAAGAACCAGATTATGTTCGTTATGAGATGGTTTCACCAAGTGTTCAGTGAAGATCAGTGAAGATCAGTGCTGCTTCCCATGTTTCCTTGAAATGTCCCCATGCTCAGAGCAGCTCAGTCGCATTAGAGCTCGCTGGGGCCGACCAGGTCTGAACATGGTGGACCCGGTCATCCCAATGCCAAGTGGTCGCCTTGGAAGCAACACGAAGCTGCAATTGATGTCCAAAGGCTTTACAAGAGGAGAAGTTGCAGCAGCCAGTGGCTAGCCTTGTATGTTGATGTTTCCACGACAGGTAAGATCGTAGCCTTTGCCACCTCAATTCAAACAATCTTGGAGAGGTGCTTCTTCTGGAGATAGTGGTTGAAGTTACTCAGACTTGAAGAGTGAAAGATCCAATCTCGCCTTCACGACGGCCGCCGGACTGACGGGACGGCGAGTGGAACAAAACACGGGGGGGTTCCGGTGTGTGGTAGACGTAAAAAAGTTGACATAAATGATAGGACACAGGTGACCTATATGGCCATATAGCCATAGGTTACCATCTAGCACCGTTGGACCATCCCCATGGTCGAGCAATTTTTTCGACCGTGGGTCGATCGGTCCATCCCCATGGTCCATGTCCGCAGCCTGCTGCGCCTCACAAGGCCTTGGAGTGAGGTGCACGAGCTCGTGAAGGTGTGATGAAAAAAGGAGTCTCCATGATGAGAGAAGCGCATTTTCCTGTCACATCCAAGTGTAGGTTGTGGGGTTGGCTCAGTTCAGGCCATTCAAGGAGCAAAACTCAGTATATATCGAAGAGAATATGTTTCATTGGATTGAGTGAACAGTGAACATGTGAAAACGAAACCTAACTGTGCCGAAATGGCTGGTATTCCATGGTACTGCTGAACACCTCCCTGCAGACGCCTGGGTTTCGTTGATCCTCCAGAGGTCGATTGCCCGCCAGGCCAGTGGCTTCCAGATGGATGTCGAGGCCAGTGAAAGCCTTCGAACGCAGGCGCGCCCGTGAGCTCCGCGGCGGTGGCACGGCCTCTTTTTTCGGCCCAGGGCAGTGAGTCGGCTCAAGAGTAGGGTACCACCCAGTGCCCACCCTAAAAGAGAAGATCTTCTAAGACCTGCAGCTCCCGGGGCTCTTTTTGGAGCCAATAGCCAAAGACTTCGCAAGAATTCTTGAAAGGTTTTGAAGAATCCGCGAATCCCCACCATGGAGCCATAAGTGTCTTCACTGGAGATCGATTCCTCCACGCCACTATGCACATCAGCAGTGGTCCCTTTTCAACATTTTCAGCATTCCATCACTTGGCATCATTGAGCCAGGTGCCCTGGCTAAAGGACGCAGTCCATGTCTTCAGAGCGCTGTGAAGACAGAAAAAAAGAGGTTGGTTGCGCTTCATTCACAGATTGGGTGTCTCTCAAACTTGATCGGAGGGCCCAGCAGAAACCAATAGTTTTTCGAAGAATTCAGGGGGAAGAGATGCTTCGGCTCCGAGACGAGTTGGCTGTGCCGAGACGACGTCACGCGACGTTCTTCGCCTCCGATCCTTGCCGCGGCGCCGCTTCCGCTCTGAGCTGTTCTCACCTCGCTTAATGAACCATTCCACGCGACAGCCCAAACTGATTGAACTTGACTCAAGCGCAATCGTTGGAGAGAAACAGTCGGATACCAACTCCAGGATCATTTGTTGGAAGCCGTAGGAGGTTGGTTTGTGAATCATGGACCTCCAAAACCTTCATCTCAGTAGAGGACCCACCTCCTGATCGAACGTGTACACTGGTGCTTCTGTAGGCTAAAACTCGCCATGGAAGGATCATCGTGTGGACTGTCAATTGCAGAGTTCGCCAGCAGATCTTGAGATGATCTCAACTTCGGGTGACTTGGGCAAAGGCTCCAGGATCTCACCTTATGGATACCTTGAATGGACTCTTGGCACAAGATTGAGGTCAAACTTTCCAAAAGCCAGGTAGCAGTAGCAAGGGTCGAGTTTTTTTGGCCCGCGCTAATAGAACATGTGCTGCAAATGAGCGTGAATCCCGAGCTGTTCTGACCCAGTGTCTTTAGTTTTGTGAGGTTTCTTTGAGCTTCTATGCTTGGGTGCAGTGCCCGACGATGATTCAGACTCCGAGTCTCATGCGTCCCGTAGTGTGGCGACTTCAAGCTCATCCACCTCCATGTCAGCCTCCAGTACCCAGATGTTGGTGGAAGAGCCGGAGGGTCCACCTCCGATGTTTCTGGAACCACAGGAGGTGGGCCAAACGGGTCTGACAGGACTTGGGTGCTGGGTTTGATTTGCGACTAGAGGTCTGTATGGGCGAGAGAGCGAGAGGTGGCCAGGAAGGGGCCAGAGAGAGCCAAAGAGCAAGGAAGCAGGTGGTGGTCCGCCTGAGAGTTCCATGTTCCATACCCGAATGCTACCCACTTCCAAACCCACATCAGACAAGTGTGAGATGAACTCGTGTCATTTTGCCAACTCGTGTCATTTTTCCCCAAACAGTTTACTGTTGGGGTTCTCTCTTAGAAAAAAAGAGAGAGCTGGCCACACTGACTGGTGTGTCCGGGCTCTGTAGCCGGGCTTTGTGGCCGGGTCTTGTCCTCCTCTTGTCCTGCTGTTGTCCTCTGGCCGCGCTGACCAACCCGTGTGTCCTACAAGGTGCCAGTGCTTGAAGAGGTGAACAAGGCCCTGAAGCGGTGGACTATATGTCCTCCTTTTGTCGTCCTCTTCTCATCCAGTTGTCCTGCTGAAGTTCAGCCCAGTGTCTCCTATTATCCTGGTGTCCCTGCTGTCCTTTGGCCCTTCTTGTCTTCCTGGTGTCCTCCTCTTGTTCTCATGGTCCTCCTGCGCTGGCGATGCTAGCCGTGTCCGGCTCTGTCTGTCCTGCGTGCGGCTATGAACTCACAGTGATGCAGCCTGCAGCTCATTTGATATCATATATTGGCATATATCCTCGTTTTTGCAGATGTGATCCGGGAATCAGGAACTGTTGTTTTCAAGTTTTTTTGTTTTTACATGCTGTTCCCAAACAGCTGAAGGATCTGGAAATATGATCACCGACGTTACCACCAACATAGGAATTCAAGGAATTGAAACACCAGACTGAAACTGTTTGGGGTCTATGCTGGCATAACTTTTATCTGCATTCACTCTGGTCCACACCCCATTTCTCAGGTGGCACGGAGTTGCAAGGACTTCTCCTGTTGCACCATGTTCCTGCTGGCAATCTTGGTCTTCTGTGCCGTGGTGATCCTGGGCTCCTGGAAACCAGAGCGCCATGACTTCGTGCGGCTCACCGATGGGCGCGGCACGCAGTGCGGGGTCTACGATGAGATCGGCAAGGCGGGTACTTAGACCTGCGAACTTCCGTGGGCAGGTCTCCAACAGGTCTCAAGGTCTCGTTTTTTTACAATTATTTCGACTCTTTGCATGTGATGACTTGGGAGGTTTTGTGGGGTTCGGATGAACCTTTTGAAGCGGGAGCGTGTTCAGACAACATGTTGTTTCCAGTAAAGGCGTGCGTCGGCTTTGCTTTGCTCGATGAGATTGGTACTTTTGGGTTTTCTCCTCAGCCAGAGTTATGTTGGGGGCTTCGGACTGGAATTCCGGGACCGAAATGAAGAGTAGCAAGCTGAACATGCATTGAATCGGATTGAGCTGTGAGGATGTTGTTGGTTTGACAGTTGTTTAAGGAATTGGTTTGTTTGTTTGTTTGTTTTCTGAAATCCAATCACCAAGTGCACTTTCTTTTGTCTGCCACGTTCTCAGGACTACTGGTACCTCTGTGGAGCAGACTCTTGGCGCACGCTTCCATCCGAGTTTCGTGTGGGTAGGATCGTACCAACTATCCCCAACATGCTTCTTTTCTCTTCTTCGGCATGTTTGCTTTTGCTGCCACGTTGGGCTGGTGCCTGAGGACATGGAGAATGACACCTTCCTGCCCACCTGTGTTCATGACTGCTCGAATGCGCACAAGCATGATCACTGTGCCAACCAGTGGGAGCTCTTGGAGGTGCGAAGAAGGTCTCGGCCAGTGCCGAGGAGCGCGTGTCCTTTTGTGTGGTTTGTTCAAAGGTATTGATTTCGCTGCACCAAGAATGGACACCCAGCTGGAGAGGGGGAGAGATGCGGGTGCCTCTGGTTTACATGTGGTTACAGAGGCAAGTCTTGTTTGCTTGCCTCGTCTTTGTGCGGACATGTCTTGAAACTAGTGGGCCTGGAAGCAATCCTTGCAGAATTCTTCCAGAATTCTTGCCAGCGCATTCAGATCAAGACACCAATGGGTCTGATTCACAACACCAACTGTTTCAGGTGGGAATCGACAATCTGAGGAAGTGGTATGGAAGTGGTATGGCCTCCCAAACAGCTCCGTTCTCTCATACATGTTCCATAAATCAACCGTGACCTTGACCTCCCTTCGTCCCACTCTCGCTATGGCCCCACCGACGCCTGAGACGGTCGAAAGGTGACCACCTACTCCGCCCGTGTGGTGGGCCCCTTGTGCTGGCCGGTGAATGCCACCTTTGCAGCGCACCTGAGATTTGTGCTCCAAACGCGACACTACAAATCCATTGACATGTGACTTGGGCGAGGTATCGCATGAGGAAGGGTGTCTGAATATTTGACCATCTATCAGGTTCAAAGCGCAACATTCCGCTGGTAGCTTTTGTCCTGTTTCGACAACCCTTCTGCCTGCAATGGGTCTCAATCACAAGAATACTGCTGAAAAAGAATAAAGAAGGCTGGGAGGAGAAGGATGAGGCAGAGAATGCTTCAAGTACAACAGACCCTTTTCCTTTGATTTCACATCCCAGTTTTGGCAGATGAGTTTTCTCAGGTTCCTCTCGGTCTATTTCGCCTGGCCGCCCTTGGCGGTGGCGGCGCTTTTGTCGGTGGCCTTCTCACACATGTGGACGCGGATCCTCAGAGATCATGCTCACTGCTTTTTGGCCCATGACGGTGGGGTGGAATGGCCATACCGCTGACCAGATGTTTTTCTTCCAAGTTGCAGTATGTTACGGTTTAGGGTTTAGGGTTTGCCAGACTTTGGAATTGGAGCCAGCAGCTCTGAGGGCGGTCACGAAACGATCTCCGCAAGTCCATTTTTCAGTTTGCGGCTTCTCCGGTATGAGAAGTGACTCATATTGCTGGTAGTAACAAGAAGCTAGTAGTAACAAGTGCCACGCTAGTAGTAACAAGTGCCTTACTAGTAGTAACATGAAGCTAGTAGTAACAAGTGCTAAATTTCCCGAAGACGCAAAAGACTCCAAGACGTTGGTGATGGTCGGAGGTTTTGCCTTGCCTCACGGTCTTGAAGTGAACCCTGCGAAATCACATCTCAATCAGGCAATTTCACAGGAAGACAGGATGGCTTGGGGCATTCACTACCTAAGATGGTGCAAGTCGGTGCATGCTGTCTAAATGTGGCTCTGCTGGGGTGGAAGGAGCATTCTTTTTCCTGCTGGCCCACATTGCTGACCTTGGTAGTCATCCCCAACACTTTGGAAGGCACCGAGAAATGAGATTTGAGGACTGTCACTTTCTCAGTTCAGTGCAGCTAAGGTTTGGCATGGATCGGGATGTACCTGCTAGTGACGCTGCCGCTGATGAACTTGGCCTACTGTTGGCTTCGGTACGGCGCTGTCGATCGCACCGCGACTGCTTTGAGATAAACCCGCCTGGAAGTAGGTGTACTGATGTTGTTGCTTTGCAGAGTGACGCAAAGGTACTCCGAGAAGCTGTAGAGCTGAGTATTTTGGCAAGGAAATGAGCTGTTTACACCAAAAAGGAGAACCTTCGTCCCACTTGCTGTAAGAGACGCAGAGTTGTTAATGTCTTAGAGAGGGATTGGGACTTTGGGATAAGGTCCTTCTAAACGGACTGTAGACTCACTATAAGCGGTAGTGTACATGAAAGGTACTGGCAAGTGACAAAGTCCTACCCCCCCAAAATGAAATCATTTGAAATCCATGGTGGACTAAGGCATGACATTGTCGTTTCCCTGTAGTCCAATCCCTCCAGTTTAAGCAAACAAAGCAGCATTTTAACTGCGCTGGCGCAAACCCTTTGTTTGATTCCTGGATCAATAAAGACAAAGCGATCAAAACAGGATGTCTTTTCCTCCGAAGACCTCGGTCTCCAAGGTCTCTATGCCATTGGGGCGCTCCTGGTGGCGGCGTGCTTCGGGTGTTTGGCCTGTCGCAACGAGCCACACCTGGACCGAGCGACCTATTGCTTGCACGCGGCCTGCCATTGTGCCGCCTGATCGCGACCTGAGTAGGAAAAGAACAAGTTGGAGTTGTTGATTTGGATTTGGAGAGGAGTAGATTGATCTCGATGGGGTATATTTCTGCGCCTTACCAGTCTGTTAGTTTTTTGGTCATAGCCGTTTGGAATTTGGAAAGATCTCATCAAAGTTACTGACTGAACACACTCAGCATTTTGACGATGAGAGTGAGGAGATGTGCAGATGACTCCAAAATGTAGGGGCTCAAAAAAACGCAAAGGACAAGAGATTTGGATCCACCCATGCCAGGCTGGGGTTTGTCGGTGACAGTAATGATTGTTCTGAAATGACCACTGAATCACTGGCGTTGAAGAACCAGTCGAGTGCTTGGGCACCACTTCACCTCCAATAGAAACCGTGAGATTTCTGAGCACCCTCCAGAGGATTCTGATCTCTGATTCATTTTGATGAGGTCACCGACATGCCCTTGCTGGAAATTGGACCTGCCATCGTTACGACCCTGAAGATCTGTATTCTGCTAGCTGCTATCTGGTTTATCCGCTTCACTCCAACGACGTTGCACTTTGAGATTCGAACGGGCACTTTGCAATTCCTCCACTATGGAGATACAGCCCGACAGGTTGGAGATGTTTCAGTTGCGGTGCTGTACCTTGACGTCATGCAAGAGTCCTTGACGTCATTCGTCACCACCGAATCAATGTGGGCATGAATCAGCGTGAAGTCATTCTGCCACACTTGATGTCATAGAATCAACCACATCATTGTGCTTCCGAGGTATTGTCTCTTCTGGCTTTGGTGCTGGAATGTGATTAATTCCTTCTGGGAGCTCAGCTGTGTGGCGTTGACTGTGCTGTGGTACGTCCACAAAGGGAAGCATGACGAGCCGCCCGGCCTTCTTGCAGGTCTAAAGGCCGGCTGTGGAGATTGGCAAGCTTCGTCAACATTGGGTGGTTGCGGTGGTTGCTTGTAGTCTTCGTGGAGGGCAGTAGGGTATTCGTTTGGATGACACATGTATTTAAGTTTAGCATAGTTTAGCTTTCTTCTAATTACCATCGAACCCAAGCCCAATCATCCGATCGAAGGAGTCTGAATAGGATGAGTTCCTCAAAACATTTCCAGCAGCGGCGGAGGAAGAGGAGTCGTAGGCGTAGTTGTAGAATGCCGTAGTAGGTATAGGATAAGCAGCAGCAGCAGGAGGAGTAGTAGCAGCAGTAGTATTAGTATTGTTGAAGTTGTAGTAGCAGGAGCAGGAGTAGGAGTAGGAGTAGTAGGAGTAGGAGTAGTAGGAGTAGTAGGAGTAGTAGGAGGAGTAGGAGCAGTGGGAGTAGGAGTAGGAGTAGGAGTCGGAGTCATCGTCATCGTCATCGTCGTCGTCGTCGGCGGCGGCGTCGTCGTCGGCGTCGTCGGCGTTGGCGTCGGCGTCGGCGTTGGCGGCGGCGTCGGCGTCGGAGTAGGAGTAGGAGTAGGAGTCGGAGTGGGAGTAGGAGTAGGAGTAGGAGTAGTAGTAGTAGTAGTAGTCGTAGTAGTAGTAGTAGTCGTAGTGGTAGTGGTAGTGGTAGTGGTAGACGTAGTAGTAGTAGTAGTAGTAGTAGTAGTAGTAGTAGTAGTAGTAGGAGTAGGAGTAGGAGTAGGGGTAGGAGTAGGAGCAGGAGTAGGAGTAGGAGTAGCAATCGTCGTAGTAGTAGTAGTAGTAGTAGTAGTAGTAGTA